AAGGAAATGATAAATTCAACTTCAATGAAAAAGACTGGAAGAAAAAAATGATTTGAAAAGAGAGGAAAAGCAAATTATTTCATTTGAATAAATCATTGACAATGTTTTTATTTACGGAAGGCTGTCACGAAGAAATCAAGAAAACGAAAAAAGAAAAATGACAAATGAAAAATGACAAAATGAAAAAAGGGTTTGGACAATTCCGGAAATTATATATGCCCGTTTTTTCTTTTATGCTTCTTTTCCGGTTAATCGAAATTTTCATACTCATAGAATTGTACGCTTTAGACGAATAAATTTATATCTATTCTATAATGTAAATTTCGTTCAATTATATGGAAACATTGCTTTTCTCATTCCCTTATTTTCATTTTCTTTAAAATAAATGGCTTAATTTTAGGCTCATTAAAGAATGCGAATAGGAAAATTGAAAAAAAAAAAAATTATTGAAAAAGCAATTTTATTCGTATTCTTCTCTTTCTTTTGTTTTTTTAATCTTTTTCTCTCTCTCTCTCTTTCTCTCTCTCTTTATTTCTTTAGTTGAATATATTTTTTAAAGGATAATTTCTAATTATTGGTTAATTTTGATAATCTTTTTTTTGCTCTATTCCTATAATTCTTTGAAAATTTTTTGTATTTCTTCTTTTCCATCCATTTTTTGTTGTTATAATTCAGTTTGGAAGAAAATTGAAAGCATTCGTTTGATACTAAAATTGAATTATGCATTAATTATAATACCAAAATTTAATTATGCATTAATTATAATACCAAAATTTAATTATGCATTGATTACAATACTAGAATTAAATTATGCATTGATTATAATACTAGAATTAAATTACTGCATTACATATTGTTAATTATTTATTGTTATTACTAAATTATAATACCAAAATTAAATTGCTGCATTACATACTATTATTTATTTGTTGTTATTATTATTAAATTAGAATACTAAAATTAAATTATTGCATTACATATTATTAATTATTTATTATCATTAATAAATTATAATACTAAAATTAAATTATTGCATTACATATTATTAATTATTTATTATCATTAATAAATTATAATACTAAAATTAAATTATTGCATTACGTATTATCAAATTATTTATTATTTTATTGAACTATGATACTAAAATTAAAATAAAATTGCTGCATAAAACATCATTATTATTATTAATCATTATTATTAATTGTTATTATTGTCCATTAATATCGAGTGTTGTTATTGATACTACTATTTTAACAGTATGAAAATATTATGATTAAATAGAAAAAAGCATGAGAGTAATGCAAGACAAAATGAATGATTTAATTAATATTGAAAATAATTAAAATTATAAAAATAATTCTTCCAAAAATTTCCATGCATATTTATGCTACGATAATTTTTTATCATTATCATAAATTGATAAATCTTGATTCCTAATAATAAGCAAAAAAAAAAATTTAATCAATAATAATTTCAATCGAAATATGGAAAAGATTGAATGATAGATAATCGATTGATAGACAAATGATTACCTCTACCTGAGAGTTCTTAAAAGTAGGGGTTTTTTTTTAAATCAAAGAAATTGGATAAATTTAATAGAAAGAAAGAGGAAGAAGAAAAAGCCAATAAACATTTTCGATAACATTTGTCCCTCCTTTTCCTATCAATATACCGATACCGTCATCCATATCTCATTCCCCCGCCTTCCCGTCTTTCTGGCATATCCAATATAAAGTTACGATTACTGTAACAATTCTTCCTCACTCTATCTTTTAAAGCAAAAAAAGATGGATTATTTTCTACATTAATAAAAGTTCTGCTCAAAAGGCATTCTTCTAAAAATTGCATTGTCCTTGCATAGCAATTACTCACTCAAATCAAAGAAAGAGAAAGAGAGAGAGAGAGAGAGTAAGAAAGAGGAAGAGAAAAAAAGAAAGGGTTTTACTTTCAATTGTATCATATCATATCCGAGTAGCTTCCAAATATATATATAGATATATATTTTCTATACTCTATTTTTCTTAAAGCAATTGTTCTTTAAAAATCCGTTTCTTTTTAAACTATAAAATATGTTGGGTTAAATTTCATGTTTATAAATGCCAAACTTATCATGATATATATATAATCATGATTATTATAGCGATAAACATGCAATAGTGCTCATTCATGGTATATATAATCGTAATTACCATAGCGATAAACATGTAATAGTGCTCATATACGATATATAATCGTGATTATCTCATAGCAATAAACATACAATAGTGCTCATACACAATGTATATAATCGTGATTATTATAGCGATAAATATGCAATAGTGCTCATAGCACAAACATCACTGCTCATTTTTACAATTGGACAGTAACAAAGTAAGTTGATTGTAATATTAATAATCGTGATTATTAAAGCGATAAGCATGCATTAGTGTTCACATATATACATACATTGCTCACTTTTACAATTCGATAGTATCATGATAAATTATTTTGTTACGTAAATAATCATGGTTGTTAATAACGATTAGCATGCAGTGATATATGTCGAATGAATTTCAATCGTTGAATAAATAGTTTTTGTAATTATATAAGATAGCCGATATTAAAATGGAATGCAATTGAAATATACAATTGTAAAATAAATTGTGACAGTTCATTGGGTAAATATTCCTTTTGTTATTTATGTAAATCTTTCTTTTAATATTTATTCAAATATATTTAATACATATAGTCTCTCCTTTTGTTGTAAATTTTTATTCGTTAATAAATTTTATATAAATATAATTGAATAATAGAATTTCAAATTAACACATTTATTTTAAACTATATATTTTATTGATTTAATAATTTATTTTAGAGTATATTTTATTGATTTTAATAATTTATTTTAAATTATATTTTATTGATTTAATTTATCTGATACTATAATTTATTGATTTAAGAAAATCAAATCAAATCAAGCTTCTCTTTATTTCATTGCAATTAAATGGCATTTTTATTTTTTGCCAATTATAATAAAACAAAGATTAGAAATATTAAATAGAATAAGTAATGAAAGGAAGGATTTGAAAGAAATTTTTTTAATTGCCTTAATTTATTTGTATTCTCTTATAATCTTTCTTTTTCTAAAGAATATTTTACCGTTCCATTTTAATTTCGTTTTGCAACAGAATGCGAAAAATTTCTTATCATTTAAATTATGAATAATTTTCTGATATATTGCAACAATTCTAAAAACTTTTTGTGATACAATTTTAATAAACTAATGAAATAATTAATCTAAATTTTAACAAAATCATAATTAACACAAATTTAATTTATTAAGTATAATCCATTCCTAACTTATTGTTTTCTGTGATATATGTTGAATTTTGATTCTTTCATCTATCTGCAATTTCCTGTCATCCTTTTGCAAAAATATGATAGGAATATGTGCTTACTCCTTATTAGTGCTTAGAAAGTTTTTAATGTATAAATCAATTACTGATAATTCTTTTTTTACTGATAATTGTTTACTGATAATTTACTGATAATTGTTTTCTTTTTTTCAGAAATTAAATTTTCAAACCATTTTATTTCATGAATTAATTTTATTCAAAGTTTCGTTTGCTGCATAAATCATTCTTTATACAAATAATTGTTTACTGATAATTTACTGATAATTGTTTACTTTTTTAGAAATTAAATTTTCAAACCATTTCATTTCACAATTTAATTTTATGCAAAGTTTCGTTTGCTGCATAAATCAACTACTGATAGTTATATACGGTTGTGGCAGCTATTTGAAACCAATTCAAATTTTGTTCCTCGCAAATTTTTAATTTTCTCTATTGTTTTATATCATTTATTAAGTTGTATTTGAGATGAATAATTTATGCAATTATTATAAATCGTTAATTATTGAATGCAACATTTTAATATATGCAAAATTTGTTGGAGGAAATTTTACGAATTATAAAAAGTTATGTACAACTTATATCGATTATTATGTATAATTTATCATTTAGATGAATATTGAAGAAATTTTACCTGAATTATTTGGCGAAAAACGTGTATACTATTGTCAACGTTGCTTAAATCATGGTTTAAAGATAAAACGGAAAAATCATAAATCAGAATGCGCTTATCGATTTTGCATATGCAATGATTGCCAGGTTGATAAAATAATTGATGCAAAATAAAGAAATAGAAAAATGAACATTAATACGATTAAACCAATCTACTAAGCCGTTTACAAACTATTTATAATTATTACCAGTAATAGATCACAGCAATCACTTTTACTGATGTTGGATTACAGTAATCACTTTATGCTTTTAACGTATTACAGTAGTAAATTTATATAGTAGTAGAAAATACTATTATTTCATTTTTTTCTGTTAATGTTATCATCTTGCTTTTCCATGACAATAAACATATTATGATAACAACTTTTTAATATGTAGCAATAAGTTATACGGAATTATTGTAACGTAGAGTTACAGCAGTACTACCGCAGCAGTTTGTTATTCCATATTAGTATAATATTCCAGTAGAATCATGGCAGTATTACGGTAGCATAAAATTACATATTTATTGGAAATTATGGTAGTGTATACAGTGGAATTAATTAAAATAGCATTTATTAATCTCTTTCCAAAATATTATCTCTGTTTATTAAATGATATGAATTGATTTTTCTTATCAGATTCTAATTTAGATGGTTGATAAGCGACGAGAGCTAAATTCACGACTGTTACAAATTGAAAGTATTTCACCACCACCATCATTACCACCACCACTTCCACCATCGCTACTACAATCATCATCATTACCACCATCATCATCATCTTTCTCCTCCTCCTCCTCCTCCTCCTCCTCATCATCATCATCATCATCACTATCATCATCATCATCATTGCCATTATTATCACAATCATCATCAAATGCTAATTTTTTAACAACAACGGTTCCTCTTCTGCCGGATATGGGCATATTTTCAACACCAGATCAAGCTATATCACCACCTGCTATGAAGGGAAAAGGTTGGCAGATGATGTTGTAGGTAATTCTATTCAAAATTTAAACTGAATCAGTGATAAGAAAATCTTCGAAACTAAATCACTGATAGGAAAATCTTCAAAATTATAAATTTGGAAGTCTTTTTTTTCTTTTCTGTTCCTTTAATACTGGTACATTTCTTTTTTAAATATATAATTAATTAATTTCCAGAAAGGCGACCAAATTGTCAACGTTGTGCGCAGCATTCAGTATTAGCACGATTAAAGGGACATAAGCGTTGTTGTCCATTTCGAGATTGTCCATGCGCTAAATGTCAAGTTGTTCAAGAACGACAAAAACTTATGGCTGATCAGGTTTTATCCTTTGTTTTATGTGTGTGAAATTTTAGCACATTTATCTAAATTTTTAAATTGCATGAAATATAGTTCTTTTTCAGATAAAATTAAGAAGACGACAAAAGAAACAGAAAAATTTGGATGCATTAAGTGATAGCGACAATTTGCGAAATAATATAAGTAAATTTCTTTTTTAACATTTTTAAATTTAATATAAAATATACAACAAAAATGGTTCCAAAGTAACATGAATTATGAAATATGATAGAAATCGATTTAATGTGGAAAATGAAATTCGCTAATTTGAATTACGAAATATAATACAAATCGATTTAATGTGGAAAATGAAATTCGCTAATATGAATTACGAAATATATACAAATCGATTTAATTATGAAATATATACTAATCGATTTGATGTGGAAAATAATAGAAATCGATTTAATGTAGAAAATGAAATTCGCCTGATTTTCTCTTCGTAAATTCAAATATTGTTTTTTCAATATTTGTTTTCAACAAATATAAAAAATGTTTGTTTATAAATTTGTTAAGTAAATTAAATAAATTAATAAATTAAGTTTGTTTGTTAATCAATGCAAATATTTGTTTTTAACAAATATTTATTAAAATGTGAAATACTTGAGAATTTAGGCAAAAATTAAAAATTTGAAGTTTTCAAAATATTGCAGCATTTTTTCATATCTTTCATCATTTATAGGCCTTTCCGAGCAGCATGGTGCATTATTTAGTGGTTGTTTGAAATGTGCCCAACAAGCATTGGCTTATCAGCAAATTTTAACATTCATCGATCCAACTGCAACCCTTCAACCATCAACATTTTCAGCTATCCTTGCAGCCTGTCCACATAGCAACAATAATAGTAATTATAACAGTAATAGTTATAATAATAATGAAAATGATGATAATAACAATAAAAAGAATCCTTATGATAGTAATAATAATAAAAACAATAATGATAACAATAATAATTAATAATAGTAATACATAATAATTGAAATGAAACTACGGTGAGTAAAGAAAATACATGCATATACATGTATGTTTAGAATCCTATTCGTTATTCTAGTCCCAAAGTTTCTTACCTTAGTCAGAAATCATCTGCCAAAAAATTTGTCATTTAATAAAAAAAGGATTATCTGAAATTCTATAACTTATTAATAACAATTATGAATTACACTGTAATTACCAGTATAATTTAATATTAGCACAAATTAAAAGATAGTCGAAATATTCGTCCCGTAATCACTATGCTTTAATTCATACAGTAAGCTAAATTTAAATTATTATTAATTTTTGGATTATTAAAATTAATGATAAAAAAGGGGATAATGGGTTAATGTAAAACTCTCAGAATAATGGGTTAATATAAAACAAAAAATAAAATTAGAATTGCTTTTAATTAAATTGCTGACAACTTTAGAATAAGCTTTTTTTAATTGGAATTTGCAAAAAAGAAAAACAAATAAAAATTAGCCATTTTAGGAAATATTATCTTATCTTCCTGAATCATCAAAAATTAATCATTAAAATTCAATAATTCTGAACAAAAATAATTTGTCGAAATTTAACCGACAATATCTTTGATATTTGTTTGGTATATATAAATTTAAATTTTCTGAAAATTTAAAAAATGCAAGGAATAGGGAAAGATAAATGTCTTTTAATTTAATACAGTAGGAAAATTTAACTTATTAGTATTATATTTTCTAGCATTTATTTCAATTTGAAATTTACGTAACAATTGATAATTCATATTATTATGCCAAAAATATTGTAATCAATCCAAGTTCCTTTTGTTTTTGAAATACTTATGTTTTTATTTTATAGTTTATAAAATTTCAAAATGATGAAAAAGTAAGAAAAATTAGTAGAAATTAAAAAAGCTTTTTTTTTTCATCTTTGTCTTTAATTAATAACATTTTATACATTTCTTGTACATAGAAATACATTTGTTAAGTATTACTGTAATTGCTAAATTAGTAATATTCTATACCATTTTTTTTGTATATAAGAAGCATTTGAAAGTATTACTGTAATTGCTATTTTTCAATATCATTCGTTGATATTACTCTTTTATTAAATTTTATTGAAATTCTCTTTTCTTTTTATTTCATATTGCAAGCGTGAAATTATTTCAATTAATTTATTAATTCTTTTTTCAATTTTAATATTTATTAAAAAAAATTTTGTTTCTTTCATTAAAATTAACTTTGAATATTTTATGCAAATTTTGTATTTCTTCTCTTCAATCCTTAAATTTAATATCAGAAGATAATATAAGAAATGAAAATTCTTTTTACCGTTTCAACAATGTTGTAGTAGTTGCATTTGATACGTTAACGATTATCTCAAGAATTCTGATCAATATTTCGTTAACGATTATCTCAAGAATTCTGATTAATATTTCGTTAACGATTATCTCAAGAATTCTGATCAATATTTCGTTAACGATTATCTCAAGAATTCTGATTAATATTTTGTTAACGATTATCTCAAGAATTCTGATCAATATTTCGTTAACGATTATCTCAAGAATTCTGATTAATATTTTGTTAACGATTATCTCAAGAATTCTGATCAATATTTCGTTAACGATTATCTCAAGAATTCNGATCAATATTTCGTTAACGATTATCTCAAGAATTCTGATTAATATTTTGTTAACGATTATCTCAAGAATTCTGATCAATATTTCGTTAACGATTATCTCAAGAATTCTGGTCAATATTTCGAATAATCCGGAAAAAAGGGAAAGATGAATGTCTAAGATATCAAAGTGCTTATTTCAAATGTCTAAGATACTAAAGTCATTTCAATTTATGTTCATTTCAATTTATCATAATAGTAAGACTGTCATTGCTTTGATTTTATGAATACATACGACAGATATTGTTTTTTGTTCCATAGCTCTTTCGATTCTAATCTTACTTTGTTGTAATTTATTTTATTCCATTATCCATTCTATTCTAAATTCCATTATCTATTCTATTCTTTCATTTCATTTCATTTTCAGGAATAAGCTCTATCTTTTTTTCTATCGTAATAATTATAAGAGAATCCTTTGAAGAAAAAATAAGATAAGAAATCGAAAATCGAAAAAGGAAATTAAATTTTAATCATCAAATGACATTTTGCCTATTGCTTAAATACCCCAATACTAAATAAATCCAATGATGATTCGATTCTTTTTAAAATTCTTTACTAAATTGAGTAAAGAGAATTTGATTATTGGAAATTTCTCTTGTACAAAGAATGGATTAGTTCATTCTTATATTATACCTAAAATCAATGTATTAAATAATTTATGCATAAAAAAAAAAGGAATAGGTAATAAGAATAGAAAAATGAATTTTAATTGATTTATTAAATAAATATCACTGAATTGTAATTTTTCAGAATATAGTAATATGGAAGGATAGAATAGAATATATTGGAATATTATTTATTTGACAAATAATAATTGTTTCTTGTTGAAATGATTATCATTCCATTTCAATTCTCATTGTTGCTAATAATTACTTTTTTGTTTATAACTTATTTCTAATTGTATCGTAGTTTGCATCAATAATTACGATATTCATTATATAATAATTTCGTTGCCATCATTTTTTTCTTCCTATTTATTTTTGAAATTCTATCGGTAAATATTACATATATTTTATATGATATCGATTTTTAGTGGATATAAAATAAATTTTCATTTTTTATACTATGCCATTTTATACTATTATATAGATATCATTCTTATAAGAAACAAAAAAGAATGTGAAAGAGAAATTTTATATAGCTGTCAGGAAGTGCAAAAAAAAGAAGAGAAGTGACTTTATTGAAAAGCTGCCACTAATTTCTCATTCCGTAAAAATACATTTTCATTTTTGATTGGTTGAAATGTGTGAAATTGGATGTTTTATTGATGAAAAGTATAAAGCTGACCATTCGACAATTTATTACTACTTACAGTAGTCCTGATATTTTTTTTTGATAAATATTACGGAAAAATAGCCTTTTGATTATTTGAAATAAAAGAGAATGAAATGAGAACTAAAGGTTATCATTATGATACTAAAATAAAAGATAAGGAATAAAAGAGAAGAAATGAGATTTTTAATTATAATTAGTATATTTGAATATTATGTTTCGAAGTTTGTCGAATATATTATCGAGTAAATTAATATATTATTTAAGTCACGAATATACATAACAAAAGTAAACTAATATATTATCAACAAATGTATTATTGAGTAAACTATTACAATATTTAAGTTCTCGATTATATCACCGAGTAAATTGGTATGTTATTAAAGTTCACGAATGTATTGCCGAGGAAACTAATATACTATTTATTTAAGTTCACGATTACATTACCGAGTTAATTAATGTATTATTTAATTCAACGAATATATTGCAAAAGTAAACTAATATATTATTTAAGTTCACGAATGTATTGCCGAGGAAACTAATATATTATTTAAGTTCACGAATACATTACCGAGTTAATTAATATATTATTTAATTCAACAAATATATTGCAAAAGTAAACTAATATATTATTTAAGTTCACGAATATATTACCGAGTAAAATAATATATTATTTAAGTATACTTCACGAAGCTGTCATTTATGTCCAATCGCATCAAAGTAGAACTTTATGAGTTGAAAAATTTAATTTTTGCAGACTTGAAAAATTTGCAAATTATTTAAGTAAGTTGCTATCAACTTCTTATTGTTGTTTTTTAATTTGTTTCAAAAAAACAAAACTAAATTTGAGCAATTTTAAAAGCATAAACCTCGTTTATTAATATCCTCTTTTTATGTATACATGTTATCTTATATATTTGATATCTTGAAGAAACAAGTTTGTAGGTACGTTTAGAAGATAAATCCTTTCATTGATATATCCGAAATGATTGCTGATTAATTCATCAATCATTTTACTTATTATAATTCCAACCGGATAGCAATCAGAATTATCTTATTGAAGGGCTAATTTGACTGGAATTGTTTCATGTTGTGCTATAAAGATGTTGATCGTTTTCGAATGCGAAATTTATTGATAGTTACAGTTTTTCTTTATTCACTTCAATTTCGATACGAAACATCACAATAGGATATTTCGATATAGAAGTCTCAAAAGTTAACGTAGTAGTAGTAGTAATAGTAGTAGTATCATAATTTGATAAGTATAGGAACAGAAAAGAATAGAATAAAAGTAAATAGAATTTTTTCAAAACTTTTATCATAAAAACATTTCCGATAATATTACAAAAATCAATATCCATTTTATAGACTATTAGCAAACAGGAGAACTTTTTCATTTGTTCTTTTGAAATTGAAATTAGGAGAATTGTTTTCTCTCGAAATAAACAAAATCACAGTAAACAAGTATTCAAGTAAAAATGCTATTTTGAATTTTATTCGATGGGTTTGTTATTTCATTAAACTTTTCTAAAATATTCAAAAATTATTTTAAAATCATTTCATATTATTGGAAATGCTTAATATGATAAAGTTATGAAAAGATACGATACTGTTTTATTTTAATGCTTAACATGAAAAGACGGAAAAAATCAAACGAATATTTATATATGTGCATGTAAACAAGCTATATGCGCATATCTTCATGTTTACATACGTGTGAGTAAACAAATGTGTGCCACTCGGAACTAGAAAAAAGTGCATCCTAACAACTGCATTGGTATTTGATGGTTGGGCCGATATTTTTCAGTCTTTCTTCGATTTGTGGCATCGTTCTGGAAGGTTATTGGATCCGAGTCGATCTTGTTGTAAGTATTCTTTGCGAGTTATTGTTGATTACTTACTTTGCTGAATATTCTTCCTGAAAATTTATATGTATTTTAGGAGAGATGGATGAAGAAAGAGCATCATCGTCCGGAATTTCCAATCCATATGATAGAGATTCCGGTTTTGATGTTACTTCACGTGAAGCGATGTATAAAAATAAAGGTAACGCATTATCGATTTTGTTTTGTTTTTCCTCTTCCTTCCCGTGACCGTTAAGAGCACGCTAAACGTCTTTTCTTGATTTATTATGAAAAGTGAATTTTTGCTTGAAGCAAGTATGCTTTTTTATGATCATGCCATCTTTTTATGATTATATTAGGAAATTACCGTATAGATTATGATAAACTTGTTATAGTGTGTAAATTCTCGTTTTCTGTTGCTGTTTTTCACTCACTCTATCAAAAAATGCTGTAACAGAGATGTATTTATGTCTGCATGGTTAAAGTACTAATAAACAAATGAAATGTTTTAGGTATGACATCAGATGCTATGCGTAAGCGACGTGAAGAGGCTTGTGCTGAAATCCGTAGAGCTAAACGATACGATGATTTGAACAAACGACGCCAAATAGATCTGGCACCAACTAATGCAGAGGAAGAACCGGGACGGGAACTTGTAGGACACTTTGGCATCATTTACTTACACTAAAGAAAGACTTTGCAGATAGTACATAGTTGGGCTCATTTGACATAGCAGTGTAATTCTCTTTCAGGAAGTTAATGTACGGTCGTGTTCAGCGTGGAGCCAAGTTATTGCAATGGCAGGCCACGAGCAGATTGATAGTTTTGATTTTCATTTTATAAATTACGTAGAATGTGTGTTCTCTTTTCAGTTGTTACTGGTTTTTGAGGGTTTCGAAGTCATTTCACGCTTCACTACAGTGCGGAGTACATTAAGTTCTGCTTGTACCTGCTACAGTGGATCAAATTTTAGACAAAATAACTGCCGTAGGAAAAAGTAAACTATATAGGTAAAGTTCGGGACGAATCATTTTAGGCTGGCAATGGAACGGATGAACGAATCGTTTGTAAGCTATGTGGCGAGTGCGCGGAAGAAGTTGAGGAAGCTCTGGATTTTTATAGACGACGTTTCCGTACAAGTAATTTTGCATATCATAATTTTGAGTTTTCTCAACTGGATTTAAGTTGTCTCCTGAAGTAATGTGAAGCGCTAGAATTCGACGTGTAACCGAATATATATGTAGAGAAAGAGTGGCTGTGACCATGAACATAAATCTTGCATGTACAGATATTTACACGGTATATGTGTTGTATATAATGTGCATTCACATGTGACACGCAATCGTATACACTAAAGCATCCTATGTCATGATTGCCTGTTAGCATACTTGAAATGATATTCCTTTCTTTCCTTTACCATACTCTAAAATCTCTCTGAAATCTGTGGTCCACTAGTGGTCACTTATCGATTCCATGTAATAGCTGGATTCGTGTCCGATGTGATCAGCTGAGAATCGGACTATTTATTTAGTTCTGGTGACTATTCAATTTCCCCAAAATTGTCCAAGAAATACTGTTTCCGTAGCTCCTCGCTGTTGCGCAACATCTCCAATTTCCAGTTTTGGATCGAAATTTATAGTAGAATTCACATCATGTAGCTAAAAATAATACAGCGTATTTAAGGTAATGCTAGTGATGTGGCAGATGAAATTGTTGCCTTAAATTTAATACCTCGCATCGTGGATTTGTTGGGAACTGGACCGACTCTTAATATACGTCGAACTGCTACTCATGTTGTTGGTGCTATTGTTTCTATCTGTTCAACGCATACCGAAGCAATTGTCAAAAGCGGAGCTGTTCCACATTTGGTCGATTTGATTGGGTAGTACCTTTTGAAACTATTTCCATGATTTTCTTTGATAAGTGACCTTATCAGCATGATTCAATATTTTTTTTATTTGCTAATTGTCAAAATATTATTGTATAACTGTAATTGGGTGCTTACAGTAATCCAGACCGTGAAATGCGTGAGCTAACATTATTTGCACTGGGTAATATAGCTGCCGAATGTTGTGAATATAGAGATCTCTGCATCGCATATGGTATGGCTCAGAAAATGACGATGATGCCGGATGGGTAAGTCTTATAAGACTTTACCGTTTCGTCTTGACTCTAATCTTTTATTTTTGTCTTTTTCAGTTACTTGAATTTTAAAGGCATCAATTTCTTTGCAGTACTATGACATTGATGGAAGCGCGATGTACTGTCTGGGCTGCTTCGAATTTATGCCGTGGAAAAGATCCTCCTGTAGATCTTGAGAAGGTTAGTACAGACTGAAATGTTTGTGCTGTTATTAGGGTGAGTGTAATTTTTGCTATACAGTTAATTTTTTGTCACTCCAACTTTTTATCATATAAAGTCTGTTGGATTGTGTTATACATATGTTTTATAACTTATGAAGATATAATCTCCCTATAGGAATTGGAAAGTTTTTTTCTTATCTTTTCATTGATTAGTCGGACTTCAGCAACGGAGTTACAAGTAACTCTTTTGAGCCCGGTTAATGAATTATTTTTTATTCGTCAACGCAACTTTGCAGTGCCACTGCATTTCATAGTTTAAATATATTGAAATTTTTTATAGCTGTGGATGAATTTCAGATCGCAATGCTACTGCCATTGTTCAACGAAGCCTTGTACAGTAATGATACATTAATCATCTCAGATGCTTGTCGTGCGTTCGGTCGGTTACTTGATGCTGCACCGGAAAGCTCATATGAATATATTCTGAAGCCAAGTACTGTTGAATGTTTGGTAGAACACATGGGAAATTCCAATTCAAAAATATCACTGGCGGCATTATTGGCAGTTGGAAATATTGTGTCAGGGGACGACGAGCAAACACAAAGTAATTCTGGGGTTATGATAGTCCTTGTGGATTTCTGTTTGAGCTTGATTTTTTTAGATATCGGAAATAAATTATTATTTTTATTATTTTAATTATTTTAATAAATTAAATAAATTATTTAGATATCGGAAATTATTTTAAAGCCAAGCAAGGTTTTTACATGAGAGCTTAGTACGTTAAAGGGTAAAATATCCACTCCTATTAGATAAATTAATAAAGTTATGTCTGATCACAAGTTTAAGTGGGAACATCAATAATATATTGTAAATTATTTTTTCGAAATTTCTAGTCAATAACTTTAATTAATGGAACTGAATATTTTATCCTTAAGCGTACCAGGCTCTCAGGATAAAAACGTTGCATGAATATTTTTTAAAGTCAGTAACAGATATAACATAAAATTGAAGGTGTTTTAAACTGCACGAATGCACTGAACCACATTCATCGTCTTTTGTTGGATGGTGAACAAAAAACGAAACGTGAGGTATGCTGGGTATTGTCAAATATTGCTGCTGGTACAACTTCGCAGATACAGACCATCTTTGACGCCGGAATAATTCCTTCTTTGATACAAATTTTGAAAACGGAGACATTTCAAGTCCGTTCAGAAGTAAGTTTTTGTAGTTTATTCTTTTCTTTTTTTACACCAATTGTTCGTCTAATTACTCTCTTATAAAAATTCTAAATTTCAGAAAATTGCAGTCAAAGTGAGAAAAATTTTCACTTATACATCAATACTTCCGGATAAATATAGTCCAAAAAAAACCGATATTCTGAAATTTAAAAATAGCCTGTAAACTTTCTTTCAACTAATTGTTATAAGACTCTCAGCAAGTGAAAAATAAAGGTGATTGGACAAAATGAACTGAAATACTTTGTAGGCTTGCTGGGTGATTGCTAATGCGATTACTGGTGGTAACAGAGAACACGTGTCACGAATTGTACGTGAAGGCGCTCTAATTCCTCTCAGTGATATGCTCACTGTTATGGATTGCAGTGTCGTTGTCGTAGTATTGAAAACATTGGCTGAGATTTTGGAATGTGGTGAATATTGTAAAGGTAATATTCAGTTTTTATTAACCTTGTATCTGCTTGTCCTTGTTTGCTTTTCTTTATAAACATGCGGTTACTCTCATCATCATTATACATAGTAGCTTAATTTCTCTTTGGAAAAATATGAAATAAGGCTCGAAATTAAGCGATATTGGTTTTTATTCGTTATGGTCATTTATGTGTTTACTCTTTGGAAATCTCAGGAAATCCCAAAAAAAAAATAGTATTTTTAATCATAAGTACTTTTTGTTAATTTATTGAAGTTAAGTAGAAACAAAAAGTAATTTCTGGTTTTTTATTTGGTAGAGAATTTCTACCAATAAGTCACTTCACAAGGAATGTTTATAGGCTTGAAAGTGATCTAGATGTGAGTGAGGTGTAGATTTGTAAACAGATGAATGGTTGATCAATAATTTTTTTTTTTGATGACAATACTTTTATCAATTATTTAATGCTAGGAATTTTATAAGAAAAAACAATCTAAATAGCAGTCTTAATGGATATGGTTTAAAAGCGCTGATTTTTCGACATTAAGTCTATTAATTTTCGCTTTGCAGTTGATGGCCAAAATCCATACGCTGTTCGACTGGAAGAATTGAACGTAATCGATAAACTTGAATTCCTGATGTTGTAAGTTAAATTTTCATTAATGAAAATGCTATTATTAGGGCTTGAATGATTCTTCACACGACTTAAAGCAGTTTTCATCTTCCTATATATTTTTTCGGCAGGTAGAGATAGATAGCTGGGCATTTCTTCACTTTCTGATTTTCTTTTTTACCGTTTCAGGTCTATGTTTATGTTTTCCTATGTTTCTCTATATTTTTATTCTGAAAAATTGAGATAATTCTTTAAATAATCTTTTTAGAAGTGCGAACACGGAAATATTTTTTAAAGCATGCGCAATCATGGAAAAATATTATCTTCGTGAAGATGACGAGCAGGATGATACCAACAACGATAACGGCGTAGTTCGTAATCATAAATTGAATCATTTTAATTTTTCTTAATCTGTGTTTTTCTGTGATTTCAGGTCTTATACTCTCTTAATTTTTTTCGTGTGACTTTAGATATCGAATATATTGGTCTTTTCTATAAATCTGTCATAAGAACACAATCTTTTTAACATATCCCGTCATTTATTTACTTCAGGACTTGGAACTTCACTAAAATCGCTATACCGCAAAATCATGTTTTGAATTCTCATGTAATTTAGTGATTATGTTAAGCAGCATATCCTCTGTTCGCTAAGATATGTCTCATTTGATACGATTTTCATACAGAAGAAAATTCGAAAAAAGAAGCAGAAATACGAAGAACCCATCAAAATGAATGTACCCTACTGTGATCGCCCTAAAAACGCGATTCTCAGTTTAAACGGTCCAGTAATGCCCATGAAATGTCTCATGGATTTGAGGTTTTTTATAATCTCGTTTAATTCGCTATCATTTATTCAGACGATCTGTGTGTATTCGTAAGTATTCGTAAGTATAGTCTTTAAAGTATTTTTCGTTGTCGGTTAAAGAATTTTCTGTGTATCATCAATGAAAAATATATTTATACAAGAAATGCCTTTATAGCAGGAATTAGAGTTTTTTGACAAAATGAACGACAATGAAAGAAAATTTAGGTATTTGGGAGAGAGAAACAAATCTAAAGAGGACTTGACCCTCAAGTCCCAAGAAGAAATATGTATTTTTTTGACAAAAATAGTAAAATGGCGAAGTGGTTCTAGAGTAGGGACCAATTTTAGGCTTTTCAAACACATAGCTTTTGTGATCTTTTTTTTCCTTTACAAAAGATTCAGTCGAAAGAATTGTTATCAGTATAGGAGAAATCACAACGAAAAAACTGGATACTAATCAACAACATTGTACTAGCTGTGTGACAATATTAAGCTTGGTACTACGGCAATATACACTTCTCAAAAGTGAAGTCATCAATGTTTGCTTTGATTGAAATTGATCGGTCATCGCGGACTACACAACCACTGATCGTACGCAACGTCGTGATTCGGAACGTTCTAACCGCAGTGAGCCGTCTTTGTATCAGTTCCTATTCTAAACGAAAAAGTTGATCCAAATATAACAAAAACTAGGATTAGGAATATTGAGGAGTTCCTTTTCAAAAATTTTATTTCGCTTGATCAACAAGCAGTAAAATCCGGTGGTAAAATAGAAAATCAAATAAGTTATTGAATGGTTAGTTAGAACACTAAAATTTGGCTGGGAGATACTCACGTGAATGTCTTAGAGTTCTGACGATCAGCCACTGGACTCAAGAAAGAAACATTGTGTGATGATCGCGATGACTGGAAATTACCATATTACAAATTTGATGCTCGATGAGTGCTATTTGTTTTCTTGCTAGATTAAAAAAAAATTCTTAAAATCAGTTAAGATTTGAATTCTTGAAAATCATTCAGATCAACCGGGGAACTCTCAATCATCAGTAGAAAAGCGGCTCCGTCATCCAATTTAATATCCTATTTACAGGATTGCTTGCCAGAGGCTTCTGATATTACCAACTTAAGCATTTTGTGGATGGTTGTGAGTCCATGAAATTGATGTCATCCTAACGTTTAAGACATGATTAAATGTAAATTATTCCAATTTGAACTTTGAGACTTGCATGTTCAAATTGTTTCTTCTTCATTATTGATGACTTTCCGGTGGCATTCAGAAACGACTCAAGCACATTCGACGTAGTATCATTATTTTCTCTTGCTTCATCCAGAAGTTCTGTCAAAGTAACTGCTGTATCACTTAATTTTTGTAGCATTCCAGAAGTGGATGCATGAGATTCGCTGTTCCTGCAAAATTGGTGCTGTTCAATTAACAAGCCTTTTAATTCACATTAATACTTGGAGTTTAGCAATAATTCATCTGCAGGACGTTTGAAATTTTCAGATCAGAGAAAGAAAAACTCTTGAAAAGAACAATGCGTGAAAAGGAAATGCCGTTATAAGCTATAGCGTGCAGGACATCTTATATTAAATTTCTGCGTAGAAACAGTTCTATATCCAAGTTTGCACAAAGTTTTCCTCATTAACAAAATGAAAGACATTAGGAAATGTTTCATAGCAAATTCTAATGTGCTGTAACTTAAGTAAACTGGTTTTAAATTAAAAAATTAAATGATGTTAACATTAAATTTTTCTTTTGTCAACTGTGTAAAATGACTTTAGTGTCAGTGGAACTACTTTTCATATCACTAAAGTATTACTCTAATTTTATTGTCTTATCATCGCCTCGTGTTAAATCGATCTCTTCCGCGTCAACATTATAGCCATTTTCTACGTCATTAGCAGCATTTTCACTTTCACTCTCTTTTTCCATTAATGCCACATTTCGTTCTTCTGCTGGCAACAATAATTCAGTCATAACTTGTAAAAAATCTGAAAACGAACTTTCGCAAACTTCCTTATTATTCCATTTCTTGTTATCACTTTTTGAACTTCATTTGATAAAGCATTTCGATATTCAAATTTAACTTATAAAATCTCTTGTCGACTAGTATTGTCATCAGTCAAAATGTGACACGCTGTTCAAGTCTTAAACAGCACATTCTCTTTATACAGCATTGATGTTTTATAGATAAGTAAATTATGCCTTCAGATGAGAATTAAAATTAGAAAACATTTGAATTCACAGAAACGTCACCTTTGAGGTCAACAGTAAAATCAGTATTCTTCAGATTCTCCAACAAAGGTGCAATTTTGAATAGCAATTCTCCATCGTCATCCAAGGGATCTATAGGCATATTGCATTTTAAGCATTCATGAACCTGAAGCTAGCCAATTTCGAATTAGATCAACAAACTGTCGTGCATTGTCTTCTCATTATTTGTAACAATTTACCCAAAAACTTGCAAAGTGAGAAAAGACCTGGTTTGCGCGTTTTATAATTTCATTATCAATGCCCATTTTTGACGCAACATATGAGGCGTGTGAAAAGTCAATAAAGCCATCAACAAGTTTATACTGAAAGTCGAAATTTCCATCATTTAACACTACATCCATAGTCTGCAGAAATAAATATTAGAGGAAAAAAGTTTTGGAAAAGGGGAATTTTTCATCATTTTTTCTCAATTTTTATCTTTAAAAAGACCAATTCAATTAATTAAATAAACATGAAAATTGTATTTCGTATCGTTTGTTTGGAATGCCTTATTCCTAATCTTGGTGTGACCTTTCCATTTCACAAAGGATAGAAAGCTAAAATGTTCGTTGAACGCATAAATCCACCTTTCAAGAAAATCCAAGAAATTTTTCAAATACTCCATGGGATTTTTGAAATGTGGCATGCAACAATGATTTATGCTGGGAAGAGGTTTCAAACATTCCTAATAAATATTTTTAAAATAATTAGAATGTAATTTAAATACCAAAAACGATAGTAGGTTGGCATCTTTAATAATGTGATCAATTAGTGAGTGGAAATGAGATACAGCAAAAATGTGTGGACAGTCAATTTTTCCTTTCCGAATCCAATAATTCAATGATGCCGTTAGCAACGAGATTCCGGCTTCCTGAAAAATGTTACAAATAAAATTTTTTGAGCAATATTTTAAATAAAATAAAAATATGTGGAGTTTACGTGCATGACAGATCTCATTTATCGAAAGAAAAGTTATTGAATAATTAAAATCAAAGTACCATAACAGTGCCTTTACCAAACTCATCGATTAAAACTAGCGAATTCCCAGTTCCACGTCGCAAAGCTACAGCCATCTGAAAACTTTGGAAAAAAATTCTTTCGCTGCCATAATAATTTCAATTTTATCTGTTTGGAAAATAACAGGTGAAACTCCCCATATTTTGATTCAATTAGAAAAGTCCAAAACTTAATTTCAAACTACATTTAATCTTCTAACTCAATTTAGCAGGTGATTAAATAATCAAATAATATACGTGGTACAGTAAATAACCTGCGATAAATCGGTCGCAAACGTTGACATCCCATCCAATACGCAATCTAGCGTATGCATTCGTGTTATGATACGATCCACTGGTCCGATAATAGCACTTTTTGCTGGCACAAAGCTCCCAATATGCGCAAGAAATACGATAATTCCAATCTGCATATAATTATCATTTTAAGTTTACCCACTACTTTCATATATCTTTTTTTTGTACTGGTGCTAATAGCTGCTGAATTTATAAAAAAGTATTTTCAAGAACAAATCTTAAAAAATATTTACTGCTCATTAACTACAAACTAAAGTGATCTAGAAATAATGCAAAACTTCCATTCACTTTTTCTGGCACATTGCTCATCAGTTAACTGAAATCCGCATTGATCCCTCAATTCAAAAAATTCAATATTCATATTTCTTTGAAATAAAATACCTGTTTCAGGTAAACACTTTTGCCCGATGCATTTGGTCCCATTAGGACTTTTATCTTCGTTTGTGCACCTCCAGAACTGTAAAAAAAAATGCATTGTTCATCCATTTATTAAAGCATTATAAAACTAGACTAGTATAGTTCCAATTATTTTAGTAGAGCTTTAAAAGGACAATATTCACTTATTCTGTTCAAAATACTCCACTCATTTCTATAAAGAAATGAAAAAAAGGAGTCATTGGAGCCAAAATATGAAATGAAGCCGAATATTTTAAACAATAGACAGTAAATAGTTCATAAAAAGTTAAACTATAAAACCATAAAAAAGTTGATAAACTCTCTACTTACCGGATTGGATTTGGAATAAATTTACTAGTTGATAGCAATTCCATGATAGCATGCCTTCCATCGTCTACGTCAATCACAGATTCATCTACGTAATGTGGACAATACCATTCATATTCACGGGCCGTTAGTGCAAGTGAAATGATACAATCCAACATGGCACAGAAGTAAACTGCTTGACGGATAGCTTTATCATATTGGCAAATAAATTGTTTCAATCTAGATTGATGAATATGAAATTCGTTTATCATCATTCTGTTCAGACAACTATCATAAAACAAGTTTCTATTGCCGCATGATTCAAAAGTAAAAGATGAGTTTTCACTTCCCAAGAATAATTCTCTAGTTGAGAGAACTACTCTTGTGGAAACTTAGCAAGAAGTGGAAACTTAGAAGTGGAAACTTAGCAAACTGGAGTTAAATAAAACAACTCAACAAGAAAAAAATTGAAACTAAAATTCAGCAACAAATTTTAGGCGATGTGATATCTGTAATATAAAGGTTCATTTTGAATCATTTTTCCACAATTCTTTGCCCAATGGCTTGCAGTGTCATTTTATAACACTGCAACCCAGATCGTAAAATAATATAAGAATAACGTAAATTTCTAAATTGATCTTGATATGGGAACATATGTGAAATACCTTTCACTTGAATCGTTTCCTTTAGGATTTTCGATGTTTCAAAAATTTTTAGGACTGAAAATTATGAAGCAAAAATGAACTTTAGCATTGCATTTGTTTCAATATCAATTATTTCCATCTTTATATCACCAATTTCTCGATCAAGTTGACGCATTCGTTTATTTTTCACATGTATTGCATTTTCCGTCTCGTATAAAATTTCAATCTCGTCCTGAACAGACGATGGAAATGTCGTATTTTTTGGTACTATTAACAAATAGCCAAACATTGGTATATAGCATACCGATGATGGTACACCTGCAAAAAAATCTTCATTCGAAATATGAGCTTTTTTTATAATTTTCTAAAGTCTTTAATTTCTTCAGTGTAACTCAACTCTACTCTTTTAATTCCTTGATTTTATTTAAGAAAAAGCAAAAATATTCCTACTCAGAGATGTAGCTTCCATTCTTGCAATATGTGTCAGTGTTTCCGGTAACGATGCATATAAGTTCTTTACTGAAAATTAGGATTCTTTATCAAAAATTTACACGAATTTGATTGTTAATGGCACTACTGTGCTTCCCTTTCTTTAAATTATGATACAAATTCACTTTAAAGATACGAATGAAACAAAAAAAACTTTTTCTTTGATTGGTAGTACAAAAACTCAAAAAAATATAAATTTACAGGTTAAAATAATACTTTACATTGATCCAAATTTCCGTCAACATTTGCATTTACGACAAATCGATTTTCCATAAATGATTCCGTAAAATTGATCTGTTGAAAAATACAACAGCTAAGTAGAATTACTGCCTGCGTATAGGCATTATATAAATATTTAATTTTACTCATCAAGCAAAACTCGTCTGGCTATACCTTTCAAAAAACTGTTTTACTTCATTTTCATTGATACAATTTCCAGTACCATTCGATTTTTTGGGGTAAACTAGATAAGAAAAGGATATGAAAGAGACTAAATTCTTACAACTTCAAAGATGACAGCTGTAATGCGAGTAATATCTTTGCAAACGTTCGTCATTTCATCACCAATTAATGCAAGCTTTATTTCGCGCTTTTTGATGTAATCCATAATTTGTTGTGCTGTATTGCACGTCTTTAAAAATAAAACAATCCTCTTACCAATAATGCAAATGAATTTGGATCATTAATCATCTGATTGCATTTTTCCCTCTCCACGGAATGCCAAAAAATACTTTAAAGAAAATGAAGTTTAAATTAACCATATCATGGGTATGGAGAGATTTGGAAAAGAGCGAAACAATTAATTTGAAGAAGTAACTGAAGATTTTCCTATCAATTCATCCTTATTTCAATAAAAAGTGGTCTATAAGAAGTTACTGCTGTTGTTCGCATTATTCAGCTAACATATCCTTTCTTTCATGATGATCAGATTCATTCAATGATCTTACCTATAATAGTAAAGCCGTTTCGAAAGTTACAGTTTAATAGCTGCAAATTTCGGAAAAATTAAAAAAGAGGTGCCACTAAAAATCAATACCGATTGAACTTCAATTTTTTTTATAAAACTAAGACAAACAATAAATAACAATAAGTGTTACCGTATAAAGATTTTTCCAGTCATTCAGTGACAAACGTTGTGACTTCACTCGCTTGAGAATTCCCTAAAATGATGTCGATAAGATCACAAATATAAGTGTACATATATTTCCAATAAATTATCCAGTAATCAAACTAAACATTAATATTAACAAAGGGTTGTATCTTCCGACCATATGTTAAGTAGATTCCAACATTAACCTTTAGGAAAAGTTCACATTTGAATTTCAGCTTTATCCGTTCAACGCTCCTCCGGTTTTTGCCGCTGACTTCACAAAACGACATAAAATGGCAAGAAAAAACAAAGCTAAAGAGTATAAAAAAGTACATTATACCTTTAAAATGCAAATTTTCTTTAACCGTGTTCGAATGAAATCAGCTGCATCCAAATTGCAGTCTTGTATGAAATAATGGACGGCTGCCACACGATTTGTTAACGTTTTTCGATTTGTCGTCGGTCGCTCGAACCAACAGCTTAAAAAGAAAAATTTAAGGAATTTTTTGGGGGCAAAATATTTGCAAAATTCAAAAATCTTTTCGAAAGCCTAAATCCGTTCACAGCATTAATTCATGCGGATTTCGTTGAATTTTAAAGACGATAATCTTCATTTCATTAAAAGAGAAAATTAAATACTCAAAGCAATTTTACTTTTTCCTGACGAAAAACTTAATAATGTAAGTAAGTCTGTGACATTAGAAGAATTTATAATTGAAATTGTAAGATAGCAGTAGTTACTTTCAAACATTATCCATCATGGTAGCAATTACTTGAGAGGATTGCAAATTTGTTTATGCTTTAGAACTAAAATTCTGCGTTCTTGAAATTTCTTTATACGAAGGAAAATACCGAAGTAAGGATTCTCCACTTTTTGATTGGCATCGATTACACATTCGAAACAAACTGATCGCTTCACGAGTACTACCGACTGTATATGCTTTGCAAACTGACGGATGTAATTCGTCCTTGAAAATTTGCAAGGCGCGTTTGGAGCTATCATCCACTTGCACTATTTCATCTCTGAAAAAAACCTAAATTGTGCCACAAAATACTTTCTGAAAATCATCGAATAAGTTTTGAATCCGGAAATAAACAAACAGGATAATAGTTTTAATAGTTGTGATTGGTGTTTTCGTATTGATATCTTCAAATTCCACACCTAACCGTACAGCGTCCAAATATTTTAACAAAGCGCCGAAAGAAGAAATCTAAATATTAAAAAATTGAAGAGCTACAACAAGTAAAAATAATCTGGAGCATTAAAATATGCTTTATACACATTTACAGTAAAGGATTGGGCAGATATTACATGGAAACGAAACCACTGAAACAAACAAATGGCTCATGGCAATATAACAACACCGTTCAACTAATTATTAAATAAAATTGACTGGAAATGTAAAACAATATGTTGACCATGGAATTAGCATTTGTTTGTCCTAATACCATCAATCCATAAAGTACCAATAATAAGTTATTAATCGGCTAACCATATTCGTAGCAGTTAAATCTAATCGAAATGCTAATCGGAGATTATTCTCTTCTTCAGTAGAATTAAATGATTCAAAAAGCGGCAAAATGCGTTTCTTAGCATCCTCAAAATCTGAAAGCGGTCTAAATAATTAACATGACCACATCATTTTGTCCATAATTAGTTGCTTGTTATTTAATTAACAGTTTTGGTATCATAATGATTCATTTTTTAAATTTTGAAGAAGCAAAGGAACGAACTGTAAGCGACAGCTGGCATTAAATGTAGTGCAATTATAGGTTTTTCTTCTTCTTTATCACTTTCATCAAGATCATCTTGCTCATCTGTTCCTCCTTCATTTACCACAGCATCTTCTTCGATTTCTTTGTTCGATATTTCAGTGGTGACGTTATTCCTCTCATCAAAACCTTTTAAAAACTATTGATGGACGGAAAATAATTTTACGACAATCTGAATAGTACATTTTATTAAATTTATCAAATTATGTGACGGACAAAATAAGAACATTCTAGTAATCAAAAATTTATATAATCTATTAACCATCGTAAATTTATCAAATTTATTAGTTTGAAAAGGTTTAGTTTAACATTTAAACACTTACATGACTTGTTCAGTTTAGCGAGAAAATTGACATCTTGCACTTTACTAACAATCACAATTGATGGTTCCAATTGCAACAGCACTAAAATGAGTTTTAAAGAAAAAAGAAATTAGATCAGTTCATCTATTTAAAGGGAATTAAAATATTTCAAAAGAATTTTTTGCATTAACATTTGACGGATTATTATTTTATTATTAAATTTCGTGATGTGATGCTTCCAAGGTTCTTAATATAATAATTTAAAGCATTAAGTTGCTAATTATTTGAAAGTTAAGAAAGCTTCCGTTTAATTTCATTCTAATCGATCGATCAGTCAATCTGAGCAATTGCGACTTTTTATGAGTTTCATACTTATATAAAATGAGAGTGCACTTCCTTTCGATCTAATCATTCAATAAGGGTGCACTTTGCTAAATAGCTTCAGCTTCAAATTTTTCAATAATTTATAATATAAACTAATGAAATTAATGCATGACAATATTTGTTTGACTGTCTCAAATCTTATTTCTAAAAATTTTCAATGTACAGTTCTTTCTGAAAATTTTTAGTGGTTTAGGATTCAGTTTCAGAGCGATATAATTTGAAATTCAATAATTCGATTGTGGACAGATGAACAATAAAACTGGATGGAAATTTCATTTGAAAATAACCGTATCTATTGTCAATTTTTGAGCTGAAGTAAGTCGACAAAAATTAGGCTAAATAACAAAATTTAGAAAAAAAAAATCGGAATTTCAAGGAAACTTACGAGAATGCATCATCCGGAAATCATCCGCATCCTCTAACAAATCGGTCAGCAAAAATATTGTAGTCGTTTCTTGATCATAACATGCAGCGCCAAGTCTATTACGATTATAATGCACTGATAAAACTTTGGCAGACATCTACAAAGCATAAATTTCGTACAATTTCGATACTCTACGAGCAGTAATTTTTTGGAATTAATTTGCGGTGAAAATTTGTTGAAATATTTTTAGATAAATTCTTTGGTGTAATTTTAAAAATTCAATTTTTGAAAAAATTATTAATTTGTCAGAATAAAAGAATTTCTCCTAACAAAATTCAGAGGAAATTAGGTATCTTTCAAACATTTTTGAAACTATTTCAATTTCATTTTCAAATTAATTTCGAGCCAAAATTCATCAACGATTAATTCCGAGCCAAAATTTACCAACGATTAATTTCGAAGTCAAAATCTATCAACGATTAATTTCGAGCCAAAATTTATCAATAATTAATTTCGAGCCAAAATTTATCAACGATTAATTTCAAGCCGAAATTTATCAACGATTAATTTTGGACGAACGCTGTTGTTTTGAAATCCAAAGTATGTCACATAAAATGCATTTTATTAATTAATTTTAATTTCAATTAAAATTAATTTTATAGAGCATAAATAGTTCAGCAATAAAATTCTCATATTTAAATTTATTTTTCAAACTTTATAAACATGCCTTCTCATACCTTTCTCCCTCCACTTTAAATTTATTTCTCAACTTTTAAAATTTCAAGTTTTCATGCATCGAAAATAATCATCATACCATCATATGCTTTTAGGAAAGAGTGAATTTAAATCTAGTTTGAATAACGAAAACGAAAATTTATTTTATTCTTCTGCTAACAACGATAAAACAATAATTTTTAATTTGCTAATTACAATTATAAAATTCTAACATATAGGAAATGATTCGAATTAGATTGGAAGTTAAAATTGCTCCTCTACATGAAATTATGCGAAAATTTATAATGAATTTAATAAATGAAAATGAAATTTTTGATTAATTAATTAATTAAAGGCAAAAATTTGAATTCACAAGAAAAAAAACGTAAGTGAAGAAAGTATCAGTGGGAAATGATTTCGACAATTTGAATAAATCATTTTCGCGCCATTTGGATTTTCTTTTCCAGAATGTTCGCGAACATTTTAGGTATACGATTGTTTCGATTGGTACTGTATAGCTTGGTACTATATAGCTTTGGCTAAATTGAATTTTCACTTTTATTATAGGTATACGTTTCGATTGGTACTGTATAGCTTGGTACTATCTAGCCTTGGCTAAATTGAATTTTCATTTTTATTATAAATCATTCGATTATTTCATTTTAAAAGTATCATCATTTCTTTTGTTCTCAAATTAAATTTAGAATTTTGGAAATTTTCTCAAATTAAATTTAGAATTTGGTAAATTTTTGATTTTGCAAAGAGTTAAATTTGGTTAATTAATTATTGTTATGTAAAATTTTAATGAGAAATATGAATGCTGGAAGAATAGCTTTCTTCATTTTTTGTCATTTCTCTTTTGTAGAATGATTAATAATTTAAGACAATATGAATTTTATTATTTTCCCTTTTTTGATATAATGAGTATTTTTTTTTAGTCTATCTTTGGTATATCATTACAGTACTAAAATATTTTAGTATATCATTACAGTACTGAGTTAACTTTTTTCTCGTAGTAGTAATAATAATAATAGATAAAACAATGTAACATATAATCATTGATTTTGTTATCATTATTATTTTTATTTCTGTTCAAATATCATACATCATTCGATTGATTACATATCGATATTGAATGAATAATTTGTTTGCATTTTGATCATGTATTCCTATTTTAGGCGTATCGAAATTCCTTTTTTTTTGATTATCGAGAACGCATGATGTGATATCTTTCATAAGGTAGTGCTTTTGCTACTGCTGCCGCTTTAGTATTTTCGTTTGTGAAAATTATCGATTATTGATCCATTAATGCTCTTACTCCCAGCTACGTTACATCTTCATCAAATTTTATTTACTGCCACGTTTCAATTTATCATCTTTATTACGCAAATTTTACCATCAATTCAAAATGTTAACAATATCTCGGAACTAAACAGTTCATCATCGCCAACGCCACCACCACCACCAGGTTTGTTAATCTGGAAATATTGTACTGGTTGTCCCATCGTTGAAAATGATAATTTTAATTTAATGATTAATAATTAAATTTATTTGAAGAAAATTTTATAACAAGAAAAAGGCTAAATGATTGAAAGTGAGAAGAGAAGAATGATATTTTAAATTTATACTCTTTTGTCTTTTGTAAATATTTTAAATTTATACTCTTTTGTCTTTTTTTTTAAATATATTTTAAATTTATACTCTTTTGTCTTTTGGATGAGTTATTGCGCTTACATTCCCTTGTTAAACCACATTCATATTTCATATTGATGAAATTTTCCATTATTTTAGTGGCAGTAAAATTTGGTGAAAAAGATGAAGTGCACGATACAGCGTAAGTTTTTACTTATTTTGATATCGTCCAACATCTTTATGAAATTCAATTATAGCTTTAAGAATTATTGTACAAGCATATGGAATAGTTATTTATTGGCGCTATTCTTTACTAAAATTTTTCATTGGTACTTATTTTTACAGGTGAGCTTAGTTAAAAGTTACTCTATCATTATGTTTAAGATTCTAATAGTGTAAATATACTACACTATAATTTTATGATATTTTGTCTTGATTTATTGCTTGTCTCAGTTAAGTATCTCTTAGGTTTATTTTTCAAACAATATAAAGTTATTGTCACATATTTCTGATCTATTTTCTTTTGCTTTAAATATATTGCAGCTTATTGAATATTTCTAGGCATATCAGACAACATTTGAAACAGAAAGTGGACATCGACAAAATATCATTGAACAAGAATTTGGAAATTTTTCACTACTTCCGAATGCATGATTTAAACGAAGACGGCAGAATTGACGGCCTCGAGCTTATTAAAGCAATAACTCATTTACATGATGAAATAAATGGTCAATTTTATTTTTTTCCTTTTCATCTCGAATGCATGGCATAACATGAAAACAATATCAAATATTTGATTTTAACAGGTATAATGAATATAAAAGACACTTATTGTTAAGAAGACCAAGAGTTTCTCTATATTGTTTGAATCAGGATGTGCTATCGATTCATTTCTTATGAAAGAGACAATAAAAAAGCCTTTGAAAGCCATTAATACAAATGCTGAGAAGTATTTGAACACTTTATTTAAGTTCATTTGAAAAATCAAATAATTTCAGAGAATACAAAAAGAACAATTTCTGATGCAGATCTAGAAGATATGGTATCAGAAACATTAAAAAAATTGGATATCGATGACGATGGTTACATAACATATGCTGAATATAGGCAAGTCGATCGAAATTAACACTTTTTTTAATGAACACTTCAAGTGTCGCGACTTTTTCTTTCTCAATTATTTAAGGAAGTCGGGAAGATGTGAAGTTGCTTATCTTTCTTTACGTACTCTGCTGATTAATTTATTGCTAGTGACGGATATTTGAGTTGTTATCATTTTCGAACATTTTGTCATTTAGCGATAAGACACATTCATTTAGTATTTGCAATTTCAAAAATTAATGAAAATCGATTTTAGTTGCATTAAAACAACTAGTATTAAAGCAGAAATTTTGGAGTAATACAAAGATCAGTAAAAAATTGATCAGATTTGCAACCTAATTAAATGAAGAATTTTGTGAAATTTTGTCCTCACATGAATTTGTGAAAATTAGATTAAACGGAAAGTGGTGATAACAGCAAAATGATCAGATGGGTAATCATTTTTCCAGTGGAATGGTTTGGGATTGACAATTGCTTGACCCTGATATGTGTATGACTGTATAGGAGAGAGCATAGCACTACGGTAATAGATATAATCAATTCGGTCCTGTGGTTCCGGTATCGTCCAGCTCCAACCACTACTACTCATTTTTTCCACCGTGGACCACGTTATTCCTGATTTTATGAAAATTTCGTTTTTTAAAAATTTATTTGCTCTTTAAAGATTTATATTCTTAGCTATTAATTTGTAATATTTCATTGGGAGTTTAGTAAAAGGTTATCTTTGAGTGTAAATAGTCGTACCGAATGTTTTCCTAATTGTTTTTATCGAAATGATCGATTTTTATCGACATATCGAAATGACAAATTTTCTGAAGATGTATACTATGTAAACTTGATCTTTAAGTGAAGGTTAATCTTTGTTGTAATTTTATTTTGAAACAAAATGAACCTGGATTTTCAAGAACATGTGGATGTAGCTCTCGAAAAGAATCTTTCATTTCAGCTTCATTTTCCAATATTTGTGTTGTTGGCCATTGGAATTTCCAGTTACCATGAAGAAAACTAAAATGAGTAAAACAGAACTTATAATTTATGCACAACTTTATCCTGCAAAAAATTTTTCGAATTCAACTTGGCTTTTTTGCAACTTTTACTCAAACATTTATTACTTAAAACCCTTTTAAAAAAAAAATAATTTTTATTAAAACATAAAATAACTTCCAATTTTTCAACTCCACGATTTACGAATGTAAATTTAAAAAATATATAATTAAGGTTAACTGATAGTCTTTGACGCGATAGGTTTTAATTTTTGCTTAAATTGATATTTGATAAGGTAACTTGTTAAAATGTAAATTCCAGCATTTTAAAATGTTTCTGCTACTATGCGAAAGGAGTAATTTTTTTGTTTTTTAGTCTTCTGCGAATGAGCGTTCGTTTTCAAATTTTGAGCAGAAGGAATTTTATTTTTTTGAAATTCTAACCTTGTCTCATCAGTCCAGTCGAGATGTGAGGGTGAATTAAAATCACCGCAAACAATCAACGGTTCAGCGGATGAATTTAGAATAGCAGCTTGAAAATTATCATCGACTAGTAATTCTCGCATATTCTGGAAACGACCTAAACTTTTACTACTTTTTTCGTAACGAATTACTCATTATATATTGATGAAAATGACCTTAGAGAAGGGAAAAGGAATGTGACAAATGTTCAATTAAGTGATTTTTTAAGTTAGAAAATTACTGTATAAAAGACGAAATTTTAAATTTATGAAAACTTCTCGAAAAAAAGTTCATTCCAAAAACTAGGAAAAGTTTTTTTGTTTTTAATTTAAAGAAGGTTTAGAATATATAGAGTAAAATTATTTCATCCTAATAATTAAAATGAAATCAAAAACCTTTTCCATCAGCCATTTCACCAGCCATAATTTGTGTTGTCTTAGTAACCATTTTATTAAATGCCGCATATGGACCATATGATCTGTAAGAAAATTCCGAACACAAACTGGAAAATATCCAAAGCAATCAGGTATGCTATATAGATGCAACGGTATGATAAGATCCATCCTTAATCCTGATTATCTTGCACTAATTAGTTGGTTACTATCATCTTCATTGTGTGATCATTTTTTAATCTAAAATTTCTCATACCACATTGTCGATATCACAAAGTTATTAGAATGATCGCAATAATTTCCTCATTGTAGCTACTATAAAATAGTTATCAGAATAATCACAACAATTTCCTCGTAATAGCTACTACAAAATGCTTATTAAATATAATTCCTTAATTGGATTTCAAATTATAGTTTTTTTTTATAAACTTAATGAAAATTATTGAAATTTCAAATGCACATTCATCATTCATTGCTATAATTCATATAGAGTAAGATATATTATAATAAGTTAAAAGTTATAGCAATTAAAATATTTTAGATTTGATACAAAAAATTCTAATTATGATAAATGAAACAGGGAAGACTTGTAACCTTTCAACTTTTAACCTTTAATATCATTTAGATATGAAATTAATATATTTTTCTATCTTTAAAATTTAAAAAAAAGCTCATGTAAAAGATTATTGATTAGCTTTTTTATAGCAATGATAAAATTATCAAAATATTATTTCAATAATTATTTTAACACTAACTGATAGTCCAAATGAAGATTCCATATATGAATTGTTCTATTTGCATTGTCAATTTTTATTTTAACACCCATACCATGACTTATTTGATGTAATGATTCATTAATAAGCTAAAAAAAATGAAACGAAATTAGTATTGTTTTAAGAAAAATAAAAATATTAAAAAAATTATTTGATAAGAAATTTCAAAGTTTTTCAGTTAAATAATGATAAGAATAAAATTAGCTAATTGTAATAACTATTAACTTCATGCTTTGTTAAAATGGCAGTATCAGGATATGAAAATGTTGTTGTAGCAGCTGTCCATTCTTCACCCATTTGACTTATTAAATGATTCAAACGATCTGTATCATGAACTTCCTGAAGGTAAGAAAACAAAATACTAAATTTTATGAATTAAATTTGAAAAATTATTTACAATTAATACATTCATCAATCATTTATAACATTGTTTTCTTTTCTTTATTTTATTTTTGATTAATATATTTCGATAATAATTATAAAATTAAATTCATTATTATCATTTATTAATTACTCTATCAAATTTATTTACTGTAAATTTCTATTCGAATGATAATATTTGTTAATGAAAATTTTAATTATAATTTTATTATATTTAATTATTTACTTGTAGTGCAACAATATCCGGATTGATCACTTTAATGTGTTTTACAATTTTTGCCACTCCATTTTCGACATTATCACCCGAAATCCAGGTATTAAATGTCATAATCGTAAGATTTATTGATTTTTCGACATCATAATGTTGTCCTTCGAGACATAATCCTCCGAGTATTAAAACTAATGAAAGTGTTAATTGTGAGGAGGATTTCATCCTGAAAAACAAAGGCAAATATTTGGAATTTATGATATTAGAAATATAAAAAGAAATGAAAATAAGCAGCTAATTAAATAAAAGCTTAAAACAATCGAGAGAAATTTGAAATAAAATTGAAAAAATGAAAAGATTTTTGTAAATAGAAAGTGCTTATGATATTAGAAATATTAAAAGAAATGAAAGTAAGCAGCTAATTAAAAAAAGCTTAAAACAACTGAGAGAAATTTGAATTAGAATTAAAACAATGGAATGATATTTATAAATAGAAAGTGCTTATGATATTAGAAATACAAAAAGAAATGAAAATAAGCAGCTAATTAAATAAAAGCTTAAAACAATTAAGAATTAAAAATTAAAAAAAGAAAAAAGAGAAAATTTATTCGTTTAAAAAGCAAAAATAAATTCATATAAAGTATAGGAGAAAATGTATTTTAAAAAAAGGGTTGTAATAAATATTTAAAAGTGCGAAAATATAATTCTTTTGTTTTTAGACTAAAATTTATGATATATGCAAAACTGATTCAAATTTTATACGTACACACATAAACAAGCAATAGTGGAAAGAGAGAGAGAGAGAGAGAAGATACATGAAAATGATAATATTGATGCGATACTCTAATGGTATCCTAAAAAGCCGAAATTTCAACATTGCACAACATCATATCTTTCATTCCTGTATTTGGATAATAATTAACCATTATCGCAGCTAAGCAATCAAAATTATATTTATAGTTTTTAATCATAGAATAAAATGAATGATTGATTATAGTTACTCTAATAGAATTAAAATCGCATAACATTTCTAATTGGATTTCATTATTTATCATTAGCATAGATAGGAAAATGGGGAAAACAATTTATGATATAGTTAAGATGTAAACAATTATCGATTATTATATATATGATAGAGAATCATGAATGATTTCTGAATACATTTAACTGATAGATAATTATAATTAATGAAGAAAAAAGAATTAAATTTTACTAATCACATTAAAACTAAATTAATTAACTAATATAAAAGATGCAATCGAGTATTTAAATAGATCTTAGAAAGCAAAGAGAAAATTTCAAATTTTAAAATGAAAAGAAAATTTTCCTAAAATAAAATTAATAGAAGAAGAATAAACAAAAACGAAATTTTCTTTTAACGCTATCACACATTTAAAAAGTATTTGAAATAAATTGAAAAATTTTGATAATTTATATAGAGCTTTACAATTAATTATAGGAATTTTTGAAATTTCAAACACAAAATTCATTTCATTTTTGAGATATTTTCCTAATCAAAAATCAACCAATGAATCATAATTTTTGTTTACAATCAATTGAATTTAATATATTTCGTATTATCCTAAAAACAAAACAGAAAAATGATAATACTTTTTTTTAAGGGTTAACTGAATTTAAAATATATTTCGTATTATCCTAAAAACAAAACAAAACAAAACAAAACAAAATGGTAATACTTTTTTTAGGCTCAACTGAATTTAACATATTTCGTATTATCCTAAAAACAAAACAGAAAAATGGTAATACTTTTTTTAAAGGCTAACTGAATTTAAAATATATTTCGTATTATCCTAAAAACAAAACAGAAAAATGATAATACTTTTTTTTAAGGGTTAACTGAATTTAAAATATATTTCGTATTATCCTAAAAACAAAACAGAAAAATGGTAATACTTTTTTTAAAGGCTAACTGAATTTAACATATTTCATATTATCCTAAAAAAACAAATAATAATAATACTTTTTAGGCTGTAAAAAAAATTTTTACAAACATGAATCAATTTGAAATGAGCAAAAGAAAGAAAGAAAAGAACAAAAAAAAAAAGAAAGAATTTAAATTTAAATTTTAAAAATTTCACTAATAGCAGAAAAGAATTGAATTGAATGATTGAGACGAAAAATTTTCACAATTAAAATAAAACAAATCAGAAATTTTAGTTTTTCTTTTTCTACTTCATTGTCTTTTCTTTTGTCGATTGGTAAATCAGCAGAGTAAAAGCAAAGAGATATCGATAGATATGCACAGGATGCTTTTGCTTCATTCTGCAAAATGCATTAGCTATCAGTTATATTCTATATTGTCAGCCTATCCTCATACACTGTCAGTTATCCCTTTGAAGCAAAATTCACTCAGTTCAAATTTCAATTTTAGAAAACACTATGTTTCTTAACCATTTCAAAATTTAAATGAGAAAAAAAAAAGGAAAACGAAGATTAATTTATATCTTTTCACTTTTCTACTTTAACCACCTAAAAAGAATGAGAAAAAAAGAGAGAGAAAGAGAGAGAGAGAGAGAGAGAGAGAAAATTGAAACAATCCAACTTTATAACCACTATTTTCTTCAATTTATTTTTGTTAAAAATATCATTTTTTTTTTACTCGATCAATTTATCCTTTCATTTTTTAATATTTAAATTTTATCTGACCTTTTAACCTTATTTCTGTTATTCAACTATTTTATTGCTATAAAATTTTTATCACTAATTAATAAAAAAAAAAATACTATAAGTTTAATAATTTAAAATTTACAACAGAAAAGATTTTCCATATGTACAATATGCAAAAATACACACATGTATCATACACTTAACACACACGCACACACGCATACACACCACACGTACACACATGCACGTACACGCGCATGCACATATACACACGTACATACACACGCACATACACATACACACACGTACACACACACACACGCATGTAAATATTACAGAAATTAGAAAGGAAAATAAATAGAATTAAATGATTGTGATTGCGAAATAGAAGTAAAACATCGATATCAATCTTATCAGCTGTATAAATACATCAAATCAACAATAAAAATATGCTTATCACTTGGCGTAACTTAGATATGTATTTATATATGTGCATGTGTGTGTTTTTGTGTGTAAATACTATATTGTGCATGTATATATATATTGGTGGGGTCAAAGGTTCATTGGATGGTCATTCTTAAGAATTACGATCTGTTCATTAGACAGATCTCTTTCATCTGTTCATCTCTCTAATGAACAGATCTTTTTTTCATTGGATGAATAATTTTCTGGGATTATTAAAACTAAATTATGAAATATATAATTCAAAATAACTTACGCAGTGAAAATTAAATTACGAAAGTTTTCAATGAATAATTTAATTATATAATAAAACAATAATTAAGGTAATTATATATTATATTTCTTCTCACCAATTCGTGCATTCCTTCTTTTTGTTAAATTAAAATATTTTCTTCATACTGTTAAAATTATTGATTAATAAGTTAGGATAGAACGAAAAATAGGACATTTTGAAAGCATTGAAAAAAATTAGAATATTTGAAAATTTCATTTTAAACAAATCAATCGATGAATGGAAATTCAACAAAAATTCTACTCAATTTTCCTGCTTTTTATAATTTGCGAAATTTTTTAAAACAATAAATTTTATAATTGCGAAATTTTTTTTTTTAGTAACATTACATTAAACTAATAATTACTAAGCTTTCATTATCTTTTAATTTGAAAATAACGTGACATTACTAAAATTAATAATATGCAAAATTATCATTCATAATCATTAATACATTATTTTCCGTTCCAACGAAAAAAAGAAATGAAAAAGGTAGAATAATAGAAAAAAAGGAATTTTGCGAATTAATTAATTAAAAGAATTATTTCAAATGCACATTATATTAAACTAATAATTATTAAGCTTTCATTATCTTTCAATTTGAAAACAATGTGGTATTATTAAAATTAATCATATGCAAAATTATCATTCATATCCTTTAATACATTATTTTTCCGTTCCAACGAAAAAAAGAAATGAAAAAGGTAGAATAATAGAAAAAAGGAATTTTACGAATTAATTAATTAAAACAATTACTTTAAATATAAATTAAAAAGAGAGGGAGGAAATGGGAAAATATTTGATAGAATTGAGTTGAGTTGAGAATTAAATACCAAAATATTTAAGATGAGCGGACACGTTAATACAGCGAATAAAATAATTATTGAAATCGACAAGCTAAATACTGGAAATATATTCAAATAAACAAAAATATTTAAATGAATAAGCAAGTGAAATAATAACAAAACAAATATCCAAACAAAGAAGTGAAAATATTTGAATGAAACAGCCGAATACCGGAATGAATATTTAAATGATGATGAGGCGATATACAATTGTTGAAAACAGATGATGTCCATTTTTCGTTTCTTTCTTTACCTCTCATTAATCATTTGGAAAAGCTCGTGAAGGTTTAAATTTAAATTAAAAATAAAGTGAAATTTTGACATTTTTCGACGTTTATTTACGACGTGAAAAGTGACAATTTTGGTCCTAAGTAGAAAAACAATTTTATCTCTAACCATAATCACTATGTATTTAATCTGATAATGACATTATCTATCTTATCGAATGAAATTTCTAATATTTCAAAATGCATTCTTATATTTCAATAATTCAAAGTGCACGTTCACAATTCGGTAACTGAAATGAGTATCTTAGAATGCACGTAAGCTCATACTTTTTGACAACTGAAATGAATATCTCAGAATGCACGCAAGTTCTTACTTTGACACTGAAATGAGTATCTCAAAATATTCGTTTTCATATTTTCCCATGCATGATAAACGAAATCAAAAGTGTCGCATATACTTTGTCACAGATATTTCACAAAAACATAATTAATTTTGCAATTTGAAGATAGTGTGATTATTTAATAAAATTCTTAAGTGAAAGATAACATCATTTATATTTTGGATTTCAAGTTTTCAAAATATAGAAACAAGTTGTATGTGTTTAGACTCATTGTTTACTTTATATACACTTTCTTATTACTTGTAATAATATCACTTAAAAATATTTTCGATTTTTAAGTTCTCTT